CGCCTTCCAAACGCCAGATTTTCAGTCGATTATTTCATTTACATAGTTAAATAACGGGTTACTTTTGACCTATTTTTAATCTTGTAAGATGAAGGTCGGATAAATTCAATTAGATTGTGTAAATAAACAATCAAGAATTGCTTAAATTGCTGTCTACATATGTACTCATGTTGTTTTTCAAAATTTCGTACTTTTTATTGGCCCAAGTGTTGTCAATTCGTGGCGCAACACTCCAAGATTCGTCTGAATTTTTGAGCTTCAAAAGCGGCATTTTGGCGAAAGTCAGTTATTATCGATTTTCTCGAAAATAAATCGATATTCAGCGAAGCGAAGTGCAGTGCTTTGTTTCACTATAAGGCCTACCCAACTTGAGAATATGAGCCGAATCGATTTTTTGGCTGTTGCCACCAAATGTTTGACCGTTGGTAACATTCGCTCTTAAGATGCAACTTGTTTTTATTCTTTATTTTGGAACCAAACCATGCAATTATCTTTACCTCAAGTCATTCACTGCTTCTGTTTTATTACCCTTTCAACTGCAATAGAGAATTCACCCAAAATGATTAAAACATGTAGATTTTCGTCTTCTACGAAGTGCGGAGACTCAGATAGTTTAATTTCTTGAGAATGGAGCCAATTCGCCCAAGTTGCTACCTTTCTTATTTATCAACGAGTCCAATTTGTCAAATCCGTAGACCTCTCCATCTTTTAAAACCAAAATCATTTCACAGTCTCTAATAGTGTTCAAACGGTGAGCTATAGTGATCACTGTAGAATCCTTCAGTTTATCACGCACTACTTTCCAAATGGTTTCCTCTGTTTCTGGATCCACATGTGCAGTAGGTTCGTCTAATATGATGATCCTGCTTCGATGCAACAACACACGAGCCAAGCAAATCAACTGCCGCTCTCCTACACTGACATTAGCACCATGTTCCAGCAATTTGTACTCAAGCTGTCCATCCAGCCCTTCTACCAAATATTTCAGCTGCACGTCTTCTAAAACACG